ACACACAAACACACACACACAAACACACACACAAACACACACACACACAAACACACACACAAACACACACAAACACACACACACAAACACACACACACACAAACACACACAAACACACACACAAACACACACAAACACACACACACACAATCACAAACACACGCGCAAACACACACACACAAACACACACACACAAACACACACACAAACACAAACACACACACAAACACACACACACAAACACACACAAACACACACAAACACACACAAACACACACAAACACACACACAAACACACACACAAACACACACACACACAAACCCACACACACACACAAACACACACACACAAACACACACACACCAACAAAACACACAAAAACACACACAAGCATAAGCACAAACACAAGCACACACACAAGCACAAACACGACACACACCGCGCACGACGCACCACGTACCACACACACACACCATACGCCCACATACACACACAAACACACACACACACAAACACACACAAACTCACACACGCAAACACACACACACACAAACACACACACACAAACACACACAAACACACACACAAACACACACACAAACACAAATACACAAACACACACAAACACACACACAAACACACACACAAACACACACACAAACACAAAACAAACACACACAAACACACACAAACACACACACACAAACACACACACAAACACACAAACACACACACACAAACACACAGAAACACACACAAACACACACACAAACACACACAAACACACACAAACACACACAAACACACACAGACACACACAAACACACACAAACACACACAAACACACAAAAACACACACACAACCACACACAAACACACAAACACACACACACAACCACACAAACACACAGACACCCACACACCCACAACCACACACACACAGACACACACACACAGACACACACACAAACACAAACACACAAGTACACACAAACACACACACACACACATACACACAGACACAAATACATACACAAATACAAAAAAAACACACACACACAAACAAAAACACACACACAAATACACACACAAATACACACACAAATGCACACAAACGCACACAAACAAACATGCACACACACACAAATACATACACAAATACACAAACACAAATACAACCACAGACACGCACACACACACACTCACACTCACCCTCACACTCACACTCACACTCACACACACACACACCAACACACAAATACACAGACACGCACAAACACACACACAACCACAGACACCCACCCACCCACGCACGCACGCACCCACGCACGCGCGCACGCATGCACGCATTCACGCATTCACGCAATCATGCGTTCACACATTCACACATTCACAGATTGACACATTCACACATTCACACATTCACACATTCATACATTTACACATTCACACATTCACACATTCAAATTCACATTCACATTTCGCATTCTCACATTCACATTCACACAAGCACGCGCACAACGGCACACACGCAAAGACACACACACACAAGCACACCACACACACACACACTTAAGCACAGACGAGCGCACACCCACACGCACACAAGCACGCACATAGACAGACACACACACAAAGCACACAGGCACAAGTGCACACACACGCAAACACAAACACAAACACACACACACAGAAACACAAACACACACACAGAAACACAAGCACACACACACAGAAACACAAAAATAAGAAAACACACACAAACAAACCCACACACACAAACACAGACACAACCACGCTCAACCAAAGGCACAATCACCCATAACCACCCACAACCGCCCCATCCATGCGCACACATACTATCTACCCATTCGTTGAGAGGCGCAACCATTTGCCCTGACCAAGTCTTCACACAGTTGACGCGGTTTGCGGCGTGAAACAACACTTTGGATTAGTCCTTGCTATATTAACCAGCTGTGCAGTTGCTCCTGTGGCTTCTCACATGCCTCGCACTGGGTCGCAATGTGAGTGAAGCCACCAGTAGATTTCAGATCTCTCATAGAGCCTTAAACAAGGCAAACCTTTGGGAGATGATATGCTGTGGGTCTCACACGACGCAGCTGCTTGGTGTGCACACTGAAGCGCATTGGGCGCATGGCGCGGCAACAAACATAGCAATGGTTGCCTTTGCCAAGTTGAGGCAGACGCCGCCCTTTCTGCTGACCATGGGCCCGTGGGGCCCCTCAGCCGCGTCGTGTGGCCTTTGACAATCGGACTCAATTGGACTGGTCAGAAGTGCAACGCACACAGGCATCTATGGCTCAGAAAGGGGCTTCGCCCGTTGCACAACAAAAAACCGCATGCCTTCTTACACAATTGGGTGGTTTGCGCTGTGTGCATGTGTGTACGGGAACCAGGGGAGGCTTCATGGGACAGCTTCCAAAACTTAGTTAGCCATGGCTTGATGCAGATTGCAGTATGCCAAGGCCTACATAAAGCACGCAAAGCAAACAGTGCAATTCCGCATCAACGGGAGGTTCATTGTGGAGCGTGCCACGAGGTCGTCCACCAGCTTGGCAGTGAAGTCGTTGGCCTTCGTGTGCAAGGATGTGAAGAAGGACCGGGGCCGATGCATCAACCGCAAGTTGCCAACTGTGCATGCCGGAGCTGGGGACCCTGAGTGGGACCTGGTTTGAAGGAGTTGAAGCGCTTGAGAGTGTGGCTGCACGCTTCGCAGGACCACCTAGTGCTGGCCTTGGCTCGAGATGCTGGGATGACCCACCGCACCTCTCCAAGGCTGGGGTTCCTCCCCTGCTGGTGGTGCCAAAGCTGTGGCAGAGACAGGCGCGGGGCAAAATTTCTGGTGAGCTGCAGCCATGCGCGTGGCAGGTGAAGCTGAAACACGATGACAAGGATCGGGCATTCTTTGCAAATCGCTGCGCGCGGGGTTGAAGCCATTCACATCATGACTTTACAAGTGATAATGCAAGTCACGTAATAGATACTTAACACCTGTATATGCTGTCTGTCACAACAGACAATCCTCTATTCATCAACAAAAGATGACCGTGTGAACCGCATTTCTTGTAAAATTGCCTCAAGTCACGTCAAGTCACGCGAGCGACGCGCAGGAGAAGGTTTCCAAGATGCTGGTCCTCTACCTTGTAAGCGCTGGAATAGATTAGCCCCGTTGGAGTGAAAAACCTGGCAAGATGCACGGGCCCGCGATGGATCAGCTTTTGAAGTGATGAAATAGCTTTGAACGGCCAGGTTACATAGAATGCACCAGGGCTGGCCTTTGTTTATGCTCTTTGCCCAATGATATTTTGTGTAGTAGGTGGCAGATTGTTTGTCCGATTGCTCGACCGCTGCTGTGACAGGATTAAGTCGGATGCATACCGGGGGTGAATCTGACGACTATGTGTAAGGGTGAGGTTATTGCCAAAGAGACATTTTGATCCTGGTTGTCCGTGCATATCCCAAGATGATGATGTCACCCTTATCGAAGCGTGATGTTTTCACAAAGCTTGTATCTGTGCAGCCACTAGCCGCACTAGTCATGCTCAATGGCAGCGGTTGGGAGGCCACTGTCCGCCACTTGGGGCGCTCCGCCTCCCACCCCCTCGGCAGCGGCCGCCATCAGCCTGCTGGGGCCTTCGGCGACTTCGCCAGCGCCCCAAGCGCCCCAAGCGCCGCATGCGCCCCAAGCGCCCCAAGCGCCGCATGCGCCCCCGACGCCCGCGGCAGCTGCGATCAATCTGCTGAAGCCGAACTTCGCGGTGACTGCGCCTGCTGCGCCTGCTGCGCCTGCTGCGCCCCCACCGCAGGACAAAGATGCCAAGCTTGTGGGAGGCTGAGGTGTGCGATTCAGCCCTGGATGCCCGGCAAGGACCCGTTTGCAACTGAGGTGGGCAGCATTCTAGCAGCTGCGCCCATGCCTCATGCCGGCCAGGAGAAGCGGCATAGCGCTTTGGGGGAACCCGTGCGTCCCCTGTGCCCTTGCCAAATTGACCATGGTCGGTTTGACCGCGCCTCAATGCTATTCTACAGTCCACATCACATCAACAGCACCTTAAGACACACATACACGCACGGCAGTGACAAGAAGAAGACACAAATGTGCCAATGTGGCAGGATCAGAGTGGGCGGGATGCCGGTGTGCTGGACAGCTTCTTGCGCAAGGCGGGCTTTGCTTCCAGCCCTTGAGCGCTGATCCGAGCATGTTGACCGGGACACTCTTCGCACAATCGCGAGCACGCGGAAGAGAGCACTCGTGGAGAAGCTAGTTTGGAGCATCCTTGGCAACTGAGTTTCGGTGTTTTTGCAGGTGCCTGATGCGCGGAGGAAGTGCGGCCCCTGGACTCGCTGCGAAGGTGGAGAGTCGAGCAAAGAACATTTAGGCCTGCGCCGCTGAGTGTTCTAGATGCACCTCAAGCACAGGCTGGTTGATGTGCATTCACTGCGTGTTTTTGCTCGAGAGAGCGATGGCTGGCTTGTGTATGACGGCATGCTCAATGTGGCTCCAGTACTAGCCGGGGCTGGGTGTGTAGCAAGCAAGATCAGGGCCAGTCATCCTGAGCGCCCCCAGCAGCCCACACCATTCTTTAAGCCTTTGCTGGATCTGCAGCTTTCGCAGAATCTGCCCTTAGTGCAACTGGCATGTTTGCATGTTCGAACACTATGCTGTTGCCTAGCGAGCTCGCAAGAGCACCAGACCGGGTCAGTCTATGCCTGACCCGATCGAATCATGGGAGCAGGCTGGGCCGTTGGGCGGCTGGGTATGGTCCTGAAAGCGATGAAACCACTGCAGGAGTGCAGTGGTTGCTGACATGAACAAGAGTTGGTTCTTGGTCTAGCGCAAGAAATGCCGTAAGGTGGCCCTTGGATCTGGGTTGCGAATGGCTAAGAACTTGTGGACTTTGGGAGACTGCCGAGTCAAGATCAGCCTGCATTCATCATCCCGAGCTTTGTGTGTGCCTTCTTCGGCGACTTTGTGCAGAAGTGCCGCTATCTTGCCTAGATCATGTTTCTTTCTGATTTCACACGAAACACAAACCAAGTTGCGAATACGTGTGGCTGACATCACCTTGGGGCGGTTAATTGGAGGTAGTGAACGCTCTCTCAGATCGATCCTGCCTTGCTCTTGTCCTCTTGTCTTCCCTCCGCCCCTTTCTGGACTTGGAATCCCCAGCCTGGGTGAAGTGAGTTGAGTTCCCCGAGGCGCCTCGGTGGCGGACGGGCGGCTTTTCTGCCACGGCTGCGGGGCGCGCACGGCTTGGGGGCCCAGCCACGCGAGCCACCGGCACCGAGCAAAGAAGCGTCGCGCAGTTTTTTCTTTGGTGGAAGCATGTTCAAACGGCTTTTGGAGCAGTCTCCTTTGACCTGTTCGGCTGCAAGAATCGCCCAACAGGGGGTAATTCGAGGGGGTCAAGGAACCGTTTGCAACATGCCTCGGGGTCAGAGCATAGACCCACCTTTGAAAGAGGGACCTTGGTTTGTTTTCAGTGTGCAGCAGAAGCTTGTTTGACTCTTTGACTCGCCACTCCTGCTATCAGGTGTATAGCTCGCTATTCTCAACTCAGCATGACTGTCATGATTGAATTCATGCTTCAGATACATGCTTGTTCATCATTCCAACCATGCACTGAGGAAGAACGAAGGCAAATCTCATTCTTGCCATTGCACCCTGACGGTCAAGCCTTTTGATTGGCCATCGAGCGCCCATCCAGGCCGTAGATGGCAGTGAACGGCCATGCAGCGGGCCAAGAGATCGAGCAAAGCGGCTCGTTTTTTTTGCATCCCTCTCGGTGCAAAAGGCAAAACTTGTTTTGCCGAAGGTTTTCGCCATCGAGAAAAAAGAAAGAAAGAAAACAAAACACAAAACAAACACATGCAAAGCACGGCCTTTGGTTTGAGTCTCAAAATTCGTGCGCCGATCCACCACGCTTTGGTCGAGCGCGCAGGTTGCTCGGTGTGCGGAGCCATCGACGGCGTGGAGGTCACGGATGTGCGGCGCTCGGAGCTGCTGATTCGAGCTGGCTGTCTCTTGCGGCAGCGACATCAAAATCGCGACGAATCTGAATGGTTGGAACTCCCCCTGAAAAGTGGTTGGTGGACATAGATCCTCTCCGAATTCTCATCCACCACAGGGTCCCCCACTAAAATTGACACCCAAATTTGTCTCTGGGTCAAAGGAATTTTCAATCGTCCTTCAAGTTGTAATCAGTTCATTGGAAGTCAGTCTTGTGGTCTCTCTCCAGGCGCGGCTGCCCGTGACCTCTCCCACCTCTGCCATGCGCGCGCTGTCACTGGGTCAGGGCCCCAGGGCGCCCGGGGCGCTCGGGGGGAAGATCTGATTGCGTTCTATGCTGATGTAAGTGTGGCTCAAGATTTAAGAGAGTGTCCCTTTCGGTCCTTAGTCAGCCAAAAGGATGTCCGCGAGTTTAAGAAGCATCAAACTCAATGGGAATGGTGAAAACTCAATTCTCCTCTTGCAACAACTTTTGCTGTCATGTGAAGGGCAGGGGCTTCTGGATTTGTTCACATGAGGGTTCTCCAACAGGGCACAGTTTAGGTCCCTAATGCTAGCAGCTAGCCTGCCCCAAGGGGGTCATCAAGTCATCATTTTGTGAAGGGCCCGAGATGTGTACTAGTTTGTTTGTTGGCGTGTCCGGGCGCCGAGGAGCCTCCCTGCCGTCGTCGAGCTCTGCGCCAGCAACATCATTGCGAGTGGAGTGGGCTTGACGCGTTGGTTGGCAGATTTCGGGCTTGGGTTGGGCACTTGCGATTCGCCACTTACGCCCATGCAAATCATGGATGGCAGTACTGGGTCAGATACTTGGGCGTTGTTGGTTTTTTGCCGCCAGGTCGGTGACGGTGGTGGCGCTTGAACGTCCAGAGGACTTCGTTCCCGAATTCTCAGAGCAAGTACTCACACCGGAAGTTGCCTTGAACTTGTGGCACCTGTGAGCGGACTTTTGGGCCTCCCGGAGGCCATTTGACCATGAACTCCAACCAAGAAACAACCCTCCAAAAGTGGCTGGTGGACATAATTCCCCACCTAAATTGTACCAAAAGCGGTGGTCCACATGGTCTCCCTTTTTGAACTCCTACCCATCTGTGGGTTGTTTTTCGTGGGTTTTAAACGAGTCAAATCGCGACCAGGACGGAGGCCTCCTTTTGCGGGTGCTGCCGAACGTGGTGGCGCGCCAGCGCGCGGCGTCAGGCGGAGGTCCCGTTTGGTTTCTCTCGCTGCCGTTTGCTTTTTTTGATAGCATGAGTCTTCTTTCTGTGGACCTCGAGAAAGAAGAAGAAGCAGAAGAAGAAGAAGAGGAAGAAGAAGAAGAAGAAGAAGAAGAAGAAGAAGAAGAAGAAGAAGAGGTGTCACCAGCGTCAATAAGGGCCACATGTTTGGCAATGCCACTCATGCTTGTATATGATTTCATGTTTAAAACGCTGAATGCTCCACATAGGCTGGGGTGTCGGGTCATGCAGGGATTGTTCCGCATCAAGAACATTTTTCTGTCGATCATAACACCAGCAGATGCTGATTCCCGCCAAGCCACTCAACATGATTGCAATTTGGCAGACGCTGAGTCCGATGCAGTGCAGGAAGTGTCTCTGCCCCGTTCAGCTTGGCGCTCGAGGATGGTGACCAGGTGGGAAGCAGACACCAGTCAGGCATGTAGGCTATTGCAATCGGCTGGATTGCAATATTGGTCATGTAGATCCTCAAGGATATTGACCATATCTATACTTGTGAAACCCTTGTGCGAGGCTAGCTTATGTCAGGATTTTCTTCATCCCAAGCCATGTTTATCCACCTATGAGAAGTGTCATTGAGTCCAGAAAATGAGACATGGATCGGCTTTGCTTGACGCATCGCAGGATTGGGAGGTTCCTGCGGAACCGGCATGTGATGCTTTCGTCTCCAGGTTGAAGGCCTGGTGCGTGAGCTGGATTGTGCGCCTGTTTGGATTTCGTTTGGTGGAGCCAACCACTTCGCCCACTGGATGCAAAAGGTGGAACCACAGGTTTTGGGCAGTGGGCCCCAGCGATAGGGGTTAATCCTTGGCCCGGGTTACCTTGTGGCTCGGATTCCTTGATCGAAGGCAGCACCGCACAAGACTTGCGGCCACTGTGTCATATGTGCAGAAGACATAGTGGAGGCGCTGCGAGGGGCAGGGAACTTGGTGGGATTGGCATTTGGTCTTTTGCGCTGGAGACAGTTTGCCAGTTACCAGAGTTGCAAGGTCATTCGGTTGGAGGTTTTCTATGACGAGCCATTTTTGCTATTGCAAGAGGTTGTCGAGTTTTCACACTTCATGCAGCTCTCAATTGCCAGTACGGGACTCCAGTGGTGACGCTGAATTGCCAGCATATCTTCCATGAGGCAGGGAGTGCGATCACTCAATGCTAGTGTGCCTACACAAGGTTAGGAGAATCTTCAGCCTTTGCGTAGAGAACACATACGGTTTGCTATGAAGGGAACCATGACCATGACCGCAGAGATCTTTGACCATTGCACAGACGGGCGACAACTGATCAACGCGTGTCTTGTTGCCAGGACTGCATAAGGCGGTGGCTCACTCGCCGGCATACGTGTCCAACTTGCAGGCCACATGGCACCGGAAGGGCACCAAACAGGCAACACAGGCTCCAGGTGTTCGGTTTCCGCGCACGTGCCTCTTCCATGCAGCCGTTGCCGGAATTGGCCCCCAGGATGGAACTGGAAGTCGATGACGTGAGGCGCGGTGGCCGAAGCCCCAAATCCCAGAATCTTGAAACCCCCAAGCCCGCCGCCAAAACTCGAGCCCCCGGGTGTGTGTTTCTTGGATTCCGCCAGGTACCTGCGCAGCATTGGCCTGAAGGATGAGGCGGACGCGCTGGAGAAGGACAGGGCAAAGCCCCGTTGTGAGAATCGCCAAAGGCCTCCCTCCGAGTCTCTGGGAATTGGCACACAACGCATCGTGCTGACCTGGTCTTCATTTGCAAAACCATCCAAGGGGTATTCCTGAATCCAGGCGCGGGGGCCGTTTCATGCACGAATGAACCCGTACAACTTTAGAATGTACAAGCAGTGCCCTGCTTTCCTGAATTCCTCTCCCTCCCACTTTGCTCTAGGTGAAGCGCGAACGCATGGCGCAAGAGGAGCAGCAGCAGGCAGTCAGCAATGCATTTTATGATTGTAAGAAGTATGCATCTTGGTTTCAACATGCAATTCCAGATATGTGTACATACATGCACGTATATGGGTGGGACTTCCTCCCGTAGCCTGTCTTGTCAGCTGATTTACTGAATCGCGCAGCGTGTTCTATAATTTGTTTAAGTGATTTTGCGGTCTCACTCATCAAGTGCATCACGGCTCAAGCATCTGGGCTTAGCGACCTATCGCGTTGGCACCTTTGAGTGCTTGCTATCATGTACGGCTTTATCCGCAG